ACACAAATTTCAGGCGAGCTGTAAAGTTGAGTTAATATCTCCCACCCCTTAACTGCCTGGATCTTCTCTCACACTCCTGTCTCCTCGACCTGTCTGTGCCCTGGGAGCTGGAGAGAGACGCTTTTGTAAATTTCTCTGTTTGTTAGACAGAAAGGATTGTTCCTCTCGCAAAGCCAAGTGAAGACGGTGCCCCGTGGAACATGGAGAATCCCGTGTGTTTGATCGAGAACAGTGAGTCTGGTGAACTCTGCATCAACCAAAAGGCTGTGGACGATATCCTGTCGAAGATCAGGCAGCCCGTTGTGGTGGTGGCGATCGCTGGTCTGTACCGTACCGGCAAATCCTACCTCATGAACAAACTCGCTGACAGACAGAAAGGTACAAAAGACCCTCATGGACCACCTTGTGTTGCCCAGAGAGAACCAGAAACTATCCATCTCCCTCTATCTTTCCCCCTGTATCTTTCAAACTCCGTCTCTATCAGCATGTCCCACTCCTTCTTCTCTTCTTCACGCCTTGATCCTTTCTCTCTCTCTTTTTTCTCTCCCTCTTTTTCTTTTTCTCTCTCTTTTTTCTTTTCTCTCTTTTTTCTTTTCTCTCTCTCTCTCTGTCTCTCAATTCCCCCTCCTCATTTTTTTCATGCTTTCTCTCTCAGTCTCTCTCTCCATGATGTATGGAATGTGTGAGAGCTGTGGATCACTAACTGTTTCTCCTCTTCCCAAACACCAACCAGGTTTCTCGTTGGGATCCACCATCCAGTCCCACACGAAAGGCATCTGGATGATGTGTGTGCCTCACCCACACAAGCACAATCACTGCCTCATCTTATTGGATACTGAAGGCCTAGGAGATGTGGAGAAGGTGGGTCATTCTATCCCTCAGCCCATCGCTGGGATCACGGTCAGCTTCTCTTCATAGAGTCATAGAGCTGTCAAGCATAGAAACAGACCTGACCAGATATCCTAAATAAATCTAGTCCCATTTGCCAGCATTTGGCCCACATCCCTCTGAACTCTTCCTGTTCGTGTACCTATCCAGATGCCTTTTAAATGTTATAATTGTACCAGCCTCCACCACCTCCTCTGGCAGCTCATTCCATACACGCACCACCCTCTGTGTGAAAAAGTTGCCCATGGGGTCCCTTTTAAATCTTCCCCTCTCACCTTAAACCTATGCCCTCTGATTTTGGACACCCTCACCCCAGGGAAAAGACCTTGTCTATTCACCCTATCCATGCCCCTCATGATTTTATAAACCTCTGTAAGGTCACCCCTCAGCCTCCGATGCTCCAGGGAAAATAGCCCCAGCCTATCCAGCCCCTCCCTTTGGCTCAAACCTTCCGACATCCTTGTAAATCTTTTCTGAACCCTTTCAAATTTCACAACATCTTTCCTATAGCAGGGAGACCAGAATTGCACGCAGTATTCCAATAGTGGCCCTAACCAATGTCCTGTACAGCCGCAAAATGACCCTCCCAACTCCTATATTCAATGTACTGTCCAATAACGGCAAGCGTACCAAACACCTTCTTCACCGCCCTATCTACCTGCGACTCCACTTTCAAAGAACTATGAACCCACACTCCAAAGTCTCTTTGTTCAGAAACACTCCCCAGGACCTCACCATTAAGTGTATAAACCCTGCCCTCCGTTGCTTTTCCAAAATGCAACAGCTGAAATCTATCTACATCAAACTCCATCTGCCACTCCTCAGCCCATCGGCCCATCTGATCAAGGTCCTGTTGTACTCTGAGTTAACCTTCTTCACTGCCTGCTACAAGCTCCAATTTTGGTTTCATTTGCAAACTTACTAACCATACCTCCCACGTTCACATCCAAATCATTTATATAAATGAGAAAAAGCAGCGGACCCAGTACCGTTCCCTGTGGCACACCGCTGGTCACAGGCCTCCAGTCTGAAAGATATAATTCTACACCATCGTCTGTCTCGTGCCTTTGAGCCAATTTCATGAGCGGAATACACAGGATTCCCAATTTCCCAACCTGACAATCCAAGCCGAGGAGTGAAACGAGGGAGGGCTGACGGATTGAGATCAATGAACTGATTGCTCTGTGACTGGCAATGGCCATTCAGCCCCTTCTTGAGGCTGGCACAACAGGATAGAAGGCCATTCAGCCCCTCGAGTCTGTTACAGAGGAACAGGAGGAGGCCATTCAGCCCCTTGAGCCTATTACAGAGGAACAGTAGGAGGCCATTCAGCCCCTTGAACCTATTATAGAGGAACAATAGGAGGCCATTCAGTTCCTTGAGCTTTTAACACAGTGAATTGCTGACGTATACTTTGCCTTGTTACAGAATATTAGAACATAAAAAAAACATAGAACAGTACAGCACAGTACAGGCATAGGATGTTGTGCCAACTTATTATCCTACGAAGATCAGTCTACCCTGCATACCCTACCTTTTGCTATCTTCCCTGTGCCTATCCAAGAGTCACTTAAAAGTCCCTAAAGTATCTGACTCCACTACCAGGGCCGGCAGCGCATTCCACACACCCACCGCTCTCTGTGTGAGTAACCTACCTCTGACATCTCCCCTATACCTTCCTCCAGTCACCTTAAAATTATGCCCCCTCGTAATAGTCATTTCCGCCCTGGGAAAAAGTCTCTGACTATCCACTCTATCTATGCCTCTCATCATCTTTGTACTCCTCTATCAAGTCACCTCTCATCCTTCTTTGCTCCAATGAAAAAAGCCCGAGCTCCCTCAATCTTTCCTCAGAAGACCTGCCCTCCAGTCCAAGCAGCATCCTGGTAAATCTCCTCTGCACCCTCTCTAAAGCTTCCACATTCTATAATGAGGTGACTAGAACTGAACACAATATTCCAAGTGTGGTCTAACCGGGGTTTTATAGAGCTGCAGCATTACCTCGCAGCTCTTAAACTCAATCCCCCTGCCAATGCAAACCAACACACCATCCGCCTTCTTAACAAGGTATTATCCCAGAGTTGCTTGTGTTTAGGAAAGAGAGGGAATGGTGTGAAGTGATTGGACACTTTACCAATGTTTCCATCTCTCCACAGGGCAATACAAACAATGATTCCTGGATCTTTGCACTCTCTGTGCTCCTGAGTAGTATGTTGGTCTACAACAGCGTTGGCACCATTGATCAGTACGCAGTCGACAAGCTTCAGTATCCTTTACCGACTGGGTGGTGAGACAGTGCTCCCTTAGCTCTGATGGACTGCCTGCAGCATATAGGAAAGAGAGAGAACCTGCATTCAGATAGCACCATTCTCCACCTCAGAAATGTAGGTAGAGAATAACAAAAGCTCACAACGCTGTGACGAAAAACAAAATTCCTTGTAATCTCAGAGCTGACACCAACCTTCCCCCACCACCCCCCTCAATTTTAAACTTGCTCCTCCTGGTTTTAGAATGCCCAACCCAGGGAAACACCTCACCTGCCTCTCCCCTGTCTGTCCCTTGAAGTAATCTGTAGGTTTCAATGAGATCACCTCTCATTCATTGAAGCTGTGGGGAGCACAGGCCCAGCCTCAGTCCATAGGACAGTCCCACCATTCCCGGGAACAAAGCTGGTGGATCCTTGTTGCACTCTCTCTACGGCCATCATATCTTTCCAAGCCATAAAGAGACTGAAACTGCACGCAGTACTCCAGGTACAGTCTAACCAAACTCCTGTAAAACTGAGGCAAGATTGGTTTTGCGATGCCTCCGTGGTTCAATAGTTCCTTCATTTGAGTTGATGCATTGTGGCAGGGGTAAAATGTCCAAACTTGGATAAAATCGCAGTGTTTAAGATAATGTCAATCTCTCCCCTCAGAATCATGTACGTTTCGGTAAGGTCACCTCTCCTGCTTCTGTATTCCAGCAAGTACAGGCCTAATCCTCTCAATCTCTTCTCATAAGACAGTCCCCCCACACCAATTATCACCCTGATGAACCTTCTGTGGGCCGCCTCTGATGCCAGTACATCTTTCCTCAGATACAGGGGGCCCCAAAACTCTATAGATTATTCCAGCTGTGGCCTGACCAGTGCCTTGTACAGTTTTAGTAAAACCTCCCTCCTTTTATACCCCATTCCCTTTGAAATAAAGGCCAACGTTCCATTTTCCTTCCCAATGAACTTGGATGCTGGTTTTTCTGATTCAAGAACGAGGAGTCCCAAATCCCTCTGTTCCGTAGCTTTCTGCAGTCTTTCTCCATTTAAAAAACAGAGAGCAATGTCTTTTGAGGCAGCCACAGCTACAACCAAATATTTCCTATCAACTCTAATTGTACACAACCCCGTGTCTCCAGTTCATCTGCAAACTGCACTACAACTACTGCAGCTGTGTAAGCAGGACTTGCAATGAGGGTCAGGTTAATTGCTTGATATCCAGCAATCCTTGCTTTTCTGAAAACAATTCTTTGCTTTTACCAATCAAGTCCGCAGTTCAAAACGCAGAAAAATAAATGGATACGGCGCGGAAGAGTCGTATATTTCATCTTTGACAGATAGAATCATTTGGGCTTGAATTCTGTTGGTTGCGAAATGACCAGTTGTGTAATTCCTGTGCAGTACCAACATGAAACAGCCAACTTCACCAGTTATCAAAAGGTTTGGGGCACCTTTCCCTTCCTTAGCTGCTGCTCAGTTACGTCACAGAACTGAGCAACCTCATCAAAGTGAAATCGGCGGGAGGGGAGGACGAGTCCATAGAATTCACTCGCTTCTTCCCGGCCTTTGTCTGGTCCGTGCGGGATTTCAGCCTGGAGTTGAAGTTGGATGGCAAGAAGGTGACGGAGGATGGGTACCTGGAGAGCGCTCTCAAGCTGAAGCACGGTGAGGGGATAACAGGCAGTGGCTGAGGGGCTGGAGGAGCCTCCAGTCTCATCCCAACCATTCATTCCCCCCCCATACACTTTCTCCAACATCCGACTGTGCGGCGCTCCCTCAGCGCTGACCCTCCGACAATGCGGTGCTCCCTCACACTGACCGTCCGACAGTGCGGTGCTCCCTCACACTGACCGTCCGACAGTGCGGTGCTCCCTCA